TGAGGAAGACCAGCCCTGAGCTAACATCTGGTGCCAATCCTCCTCTTTTTGCTGAGAAAGACTGGCCCTGGGCTAACATCCACACCCATCTTCCTCTACTTTACATGGGATGCCACTACAGCATGGCCTGACAAGCTGTGCATCGGTGCGTGCCCGGGATACGAACCTGCGAACCCTGGGCTGCCGAAGCAGAGCCCACGCACTTAACCGTTGTGCCACCGGGCCGGCCCCTTAATAGTTTTTTTAAAAAAAGGAATGTTACTTTTTTTATGAAGAAAGAAAAAGAAAGAGGGAGGAGAGAAGAGAGGAGAGGAGAGGAGAGGGGAGAAAGAAATGCTACATTTTAATAAACCTAAGATGGAGGCAGCTAAACATAGCAAAGCAGGGTCCAATCTAGAAGTCAGGACCTCCCAGGTCGTCTCTTTGTGTAAGTTTTGCCCATATTTTAAAGGGAATTTAAAAAAACATTAATCAAGGGCAGCCCAGTGATTTTAGACCAACATAGAAAAAGACTTGGGTTAATTATTATCTTGATTATCAAGATTAATTATTATCTGATTATTATCTTGACTTTTTAAACAAGTGTCTTTCTCTGTGGAGCACAAAGGCTTTAAATTCTCTCTGGCATTTAGCAGAATGCTACTGTCTCTGCCATGAAGGGGGGACTGATCTTCCCAAGGTCATATGACCACCTGTCGGAGGTGGAGTTAGGACCTTGAAGCAGGAGGCCAAGAGCGAGTCTCCGGCGTCTGTGACCAGACCCCACTTAGCGGATCGTGACTACCTATCTGATGTGCAAAAGCAGCTCCCTGGGAATGACACAGCTACTTTGAGGAGGCCCTCATTCAGGACCACCAGGGGAAAAGGCTTGCCTGGTATAAATAAATAAATATCTAGTGCTTGCCTGCACTAGATATTGCATATAATAAACGCAAATCCTAGGAGAGTCCAAAGCATACCTGAGACCACTGTGAGGGACAGCTCCTCACTCAGGGGGCAGCCTCATGCCATAGCTCAGGCTCTCCTTCTACAGACTGCTCAGCCTATTTTTGAATTGAAGACGGGGTTCAGTTAAGTTCTTGGCTCGATTTCAGGCACTCTGTAGCTAACGCCATGGAAACACGCAGCACAGCTGGGTGCTGTGACGCCTGAGGCCTGTTGTTGCTATGTGATCTCACCCCACTAGGGCTGAGGCATCCCTAGCAGAGGTGTGAGTGGCGGGCACAACTGGGTAAGATACCTCTTAGTGATGGTTGCAGCTCTTAGAGTCAAAGGACTTTCCTGACAAAGAGAGAACAAAGCAAAGCCCTTCTACAGAAATATCAACAGAAACATTGAACCAGAGCTAAGTCGGTGTCTATGTTTATCGTTCCCCTTATTTCTTGTTCTTCCTCCAGTTTCAAATTTTCAGCGTCCACTGAAACAGCAGCTTCCTCTGCGTGAACAAACGCACCACTCCCATCCAAAGTCTGAGCCCTCATGGTCAATCCCATAGCAACCAGAGGGGTTGTGGCTTCTGTCAGAGGACTGCCTGGTGCTATTAAGTCCCACGGGACAAGGTTTCATGTTTATTGCTGTACCTCAAACAGCTCCCCACGGCATGAGACGTCCCCTCACGTCTGTTTACTTGTCAGCTCAGATACTCTGTCTGTGTTTGCTTTGTGGCTGACACAGTGTAATGTGAAATGAACTGGGCAGCACACGAGAATAAGTCATGGGTTATTCAGTGTGGGACAGAAGAAACAAGGGTTCAAGGTGGTCTCCCCTCTTTCTAAATGATGCAGCCCAGGGCTGGACACAGCAAATTATTAAAGACCTACTGAGTACACAGTCTAAACCTCTGAGAAGTACTTGTTGAGGATGACATTGAATTGTTCTCTTTACGCCTTTTTCCACTCCCCCGTTTTAACTACCCAATCACATTAGCAAAGCATGGCTGACAAGAGATAAAAATGAAGGGCCAAAGGCCAAATATCACTAAGTTCTTTCTCTGCCTTTCAGTTTCCCAGCCGATAACTTAAACGCAAGTTCAGGGTTATTGCTACAACCCCATAAAAGCAATGTGCTCTCTGGAAATACTCTTCATATCTCAATGTCGAAACTGATAAATACCATGCAAATAGATGGTAAAGAAATTGAATATGAAGTTACGTAAATACGAGCATCATGCCACCATTCTCTCTAACTGTTAACTAGCTGTAGTGCTTTTACTACACCGAAATGGGATCTCTTTACTTCTCAGAGGAAATTGGAGCCTTGAGGTTGCCCCGGGCACAGGATACACACCGAGTAATACACATCCGTCATCTGGAGGAGGTTTTTGGTGCTTCCATTCTCATGCATTTCAATCGCTTCTCGGCCCCATTCTTGTGAGCGGGGGTTCTTGGGGTACTCGGCATACGGGGACATCTGGAAATCTCCACTTTTGAAGATGAGTTTGCTGATGTCATTTTTATTCTTTCTGTGGGATAAAAAATATTTGAAAATTTAAGTGAATAAGTTCTGAAAGAAATGATATTTGTGAAAGCACTACCTATTATTTTACAAAGTAAATTAGACTGAAAGCTACTATTATATTTCTTTGTAGCTGCCCACTGAGGAACGTTATTATTTTCAGTATTTGCCTAAAATAAGCAAAAATGCAATTAGATGCAAAAAAAAATCTTCCAGCCCAAAGGGACAGGTTATGAGAGGCAGAGAGGACAAAGACAGCTGCAGGGAAGCAGACGTAGACTCTTCTGGGGGACAGAGATTGCTGCATCTTGGGGGCAGCCCGGGAAACAGGAGTCAGAAACTCCCAGACTGCCGGAGCCGGAAGGGTCTTGAGGATTCTTTAGTCTAGTGGTTCCACACCTACTTGAGCATCAGAATTTACAGAGAAGCTTCTAGTTCTCACCTAGATTTCCTAAACAGGAGCTCTGGGGAATGGGGCAACTCTGGCTTTGTGAAGAGATGTGACTTGTGTCCCAGGTCACATTTTGCTACTAGCAAAGCTGGGACTAGAATTGAGGCTTCCCAACTCTCAGCCAGTGCTCTTTTCCCATATGAAGCTTCAACCCAAATCACAAAAACAGGACATCTTGTTTGCAAAAATGCCCACCCGTTCGCAGACCTGTACATATTTTCATTTAAGTGGGTCAGGGAAACCCTAGGAACAAGCTCCCTGCTGTGAGAGTTCACTGACCAGAAAATTCACCTACCTAATGGGCCTACGATCAGGCATGTTTAGTTATATTTGCCCTGGGTAGATAATCCGAAGTTTCTTCCTTCTACCTCACTTTCCTATAAATAAACTTTCTGGGGAAGTTTGAAATGACTCCGGGTCATTTAACCATATGTCCCACATGTGGCTTAGGCATTGTCCCTTCCTGCAAGTTCAGAACAGACCTGCCACTGTGTTGCTCCCTGGAGGGTGGGGCATCCAGTCTTAAACAATGACTTACTAATTCCCAAGTACTTTCCCTTCCCAGTGACCAACAGTCACAGGCTCCTTCCCTAAATGGCTACACTACCCGGTACAGGACACTTAGCAAATATGAGGCTTATGTCCCTTGAGCACTCAGGTTTTACCTCTGGGGTTCTTAGTCTCATTTCCAGAATTTTATTTCCACTCACACAGTTTATCTTTGATGATCTGGTGGCAGCTCTGTAAATGACAGCAAAGGCTGTACCATGAGGCCTGCAGTCTCGAATGCGCAGTTTGAGCAAATTGCTCTCTGCAGCCTTACTGGAGATAGAGGATATCTTATAATGTCCTTCAAAGCAATGGCTGAAAAGATAACTTGCTACTTTGGTAGGTTCCCTCCATTTGTTATGTCAGGATAACTGCTGCCATTTATGATCATCTAAATCAAAAGTCATAATTTTCCTTTATCTGAATAGATTATCACAGAGCAGGTGGACCAACTTCTTTTTGCTTCCTTTTCCAGTAAAAACCCAATCCCACTGGCTTCCAGAAAGCCCAGGGCTAAGTATACTGCTGAATACCTGCTCACCCCACGTGCCTGCTACAATTTCTCTACTGCTAAAATATGCCAGGTAACCCCTTTCATCTTTGTCTGTTTCTTAATTTGCCCATTTAAAGTGTACAAGTCCGGGGCCGGCCCGGTGGCACAAGCGGTTAAGTGCGCGCGCTCAGCTGCAGTGGCCCAGGGTTCGCTGGTTCGGATCCCGGGTGTGCACTGACGCACCGCTTATCAAGCCATGCTGTGGCGGCGTCTCATATAAAGTAGAGGAAGATGGGCAGGGATGTTAGCCCAGGGCCAGTCTTCCTCAGCAAAAAAGAGGACGATTGGCATTGGATGTTAGCTCAGGGCTGGTTCTCCTCACAAAATAAATAAATAAAGTGTACAAGTCAATGGTTTTTAGTATATTCAGAGTTGTGCAACCATCATCACAATCTTATTTTTTTAATTATTTTTTATTTTTATTTATTTTTTTATTGAGGTAACATTGGTTTAAAGCATTACATAAATTTCAGGTGTACATCATTATATTTCAATTTCTGTGTAGATTACATCATGTTCACTACCCAAAGACAAATTACCATCCATCACCATACATGTGTGCTCAGTTACCCATCTTGCCTTCCTCCCTCCCCCCTTCCCCTCTGGTAACCACCAATCTAATATCTGTATCTGTGTGTCTATTTGTTGTTGTTGTTGTTTTTATCTTCTATTTATGAGTGAGATCATTCGGTATTTGACGTTCTCCCTCTGACTTATTTCGCTTAGTGTAATACTGTCAAGGTCCATCCATCCATGTTGTCACAAATGGCCAGATTTCATCTTTTTTTACGGCTGAGTAGTATTTCATTGTGTATATATACCACATCTTCTTTATCTATTCGTCGACCTTGATGGGCACTTAGGTTGTTTCCAAGTCTTGGCTATTGTGAATAATGCTGCAATGAACATAGGGGTGCATGTATCTTTACACTTTTGTGTTTTCACGATCTTTGGTTAAATACTTAGCAGTAGAATAGCTGGGTCATATGGCAGTTCTATTCTTAATTTTTTGAGGAATCTCCAGTTTTCCATAGTGGCTGTACCAGTTTGCATTCCCACCAGCAGTGTATGAGGGTTCCCTCTTCTCCACATCCTCTCCAACACTTGCTATTTCTTGTCTTGTTTATTATAGCTATTCTGACAGGCGTGAGGTGGTATCTCATCACAATCAATTTTAGAACAGTTTTATCACCTCAAAAAGGAGCCCCATACTCCTTAGCCATTACTCCTCAATTCTCCCCTCTGCCTGCCCAGCCCAAGGCAACCACTAATCTCCTTTCTGTCTCTATTAGATTTGCCTATTTTGGACATTTCATATAAATGGAATCATACAATAGGTGGTCTTTTGTGACTGGCTTATTTCGCTTAGCATAATATTTTCAAGGTTCATGCACTTTACAACATGTATCAGTATTTCATTCCTTTTTATGGCTGAATAATACTCCATTGTATAGCTATATCACATTTTGTTTATCTATTCATCAGTTGATGGATATTGGGGTTATTTTCACCTTTGGCCATTATGAACATACGTGTACGTGTTTCTGTGTAGACATACGTTTCCATTTCTCTTGGTATACACCTAAAAGTGGAAGTGCTGGGTCAAATGACAACTCTGTGTTTAACTTTCTGAGGAGCTGCTAGACTTTTTCAAAGTGGCTGCACCGTTTTATGTTTCCACCAGCACTGTATGAGCATTCTAATTTTTCCATATCCTCACCAACACTTGTTATTTTCCTTTTTTTTGGTGAGGAAGATTTACCCTGAGCTAACACCTGTTGCCAATCTTCCTCTTTTTTTTGCTTGAGGAAGATTAGCCCTGAGCTAACATCTGTGCCAATCTTCCTCCATTTTGCATGTGGGTCACTGCCCCAGCACGGCCGATGAGTAGTGCAGGTCCGCGCCTGGGTTCCGAACCTGCAAACCTGGGCCACTGAAGTGGAGCGTGCCAAACTCAACCACTATGCCACGAGGCAGGCCCCTCCTTTTTTTTAATGCCATCTCAGTGCGTGTGAAGTAGTATCTCATGGCAGTTTTGATTGCATTTCCCTGATGGTAATGATGTTGAGTATCCTTTCATGTGCCTACTAGCCGTTTGTATATCTTCTTTGGAGAAATGTCTATTCAAGTTCTTTGCCCATTTTTAAACTGGGGTTGCCTTTTTATTATTGAGTTATAAGAATTCTTTATATATTCTAGACACAAGTCCCTTATTAGACATATGATTTTCAAATACCTTCTCCCATTCTGCGGGTTGTCTTTTTACTTTCTTGATAGTGTTCTTCTTTTTTTTTTTTTTTGTGAGGAAGATCAGCCCTGAGCTAACATCCATGCTAATCCTCCTCTTTTTGTTGAGGAAGACCGGCCTTGAGCTAACATCTATTGCCAATCCTCCTCCTTTTTTTTTTCTCCCCCTCAAAGCCCCAGTAGATAGTTGTATGTCATAGTTGCACATCCTTCTACTTGCTGTATGTGGGACGCAGCCTCAGCACGGCCGGAGAAGCGGTGCGTCGGTGCGCGCCCGGGATCCGAACCCGGGCCACCAGTAGCGGAACACGTGCACTCAAACGATAAGCCACGGGGCCAGCCCGATAGTGTTCTTCAAAGCAGGGAAGTTTTTAATTTTGATGAAGTCCAATTTATCTCTTTTTTTGTTTCTTATGTTTTTGAATATTCTTTTCTAATAAAGTCCCATTTGCTGTCCTTTTCTTTACTCAATGGCACTCACTATCATGAATTTCCCTTTCTCCTATTTTTAACAGTTCAGTCACATGTTATGATTTAATATTGTAAACCACCCCAAACATTCTTAAAAACTGACCCTTGCTTAGCACAGGCAAAGAAACAGAATTAGAGTGTGAATTCCCACCACTCACCTGCAACAGGTGACAATCAGCGCAATGCCCAGGATCAGCAGGAGCCCCCCTCCTGCGGCTGCGATCACCACGGTGATGAGCTGATAGGCTGAACAGGTTTAGAAAGAATAAAAGTGGACAAATAAGAGGTAACGAATAAATAAATGAATACATAAGAATCGTTCCCCTCCCTACCCCACAGCTACCACTGTACCTCCGCTGGTAACCTTGCCTTTCACTTCCCGGGCCCCCAGCAAGGGCTCCTCAGAGCTAGCTCTACATTTTCTCTGTGGAAGGGTAGAGAATACGCCACCCCAACATATTCCTGTACGGCATATTTTATTATTTTGAGCTGATTATTTTTGAGAAACTGCAGACACAGGAGAAGCTCTGAAAACAGAGTGGAAGTGACCCTTTTGTAAAGAGATTTTCATTGGAAAGGCGGCCTGACCCACGGATTTTACCAATCCATGGTAAAAAGGGAAAAATAAGGAGATGCCTGAATTTTTCAAAAACTAAATCTGTTTGGTTTTAATAACTGTTCTACTAAGAGTTTGTCCTTCTGACTTTTTTTTTCTCACTTAATACGGGTACATTTTATTATGTGTAAACTATGCCTCCAGTAAAGTTGGTTTTTAAAAAGTAATGGAGAAAACAGAGAATCTTTTCTTGGCTACTTCTCACCTTTTGGTGTTAACTGTTTTTTAAATTTTTTGAATTGATGGTGACAATAGATATAAAAACTCTTGATTTGGTTTTAGGTTCTTACTTGATAAAATAAAAAGGAGGCAACCCTAGGTTAGACTCCCCAGTTTTATAAGAAACATTACTGGTCAATTAAGTACAGAGTCTGGGAATCATTGCATAAATCATGCTGGGCACTGACTAGTTTCCTCAATACACACAAATTGAATTTAATTACCAGATATTAGCAGTCATATAAGTAAGTACCTATCATATGTAATAAATAAGATTAAAATTTTAACTAATTGGTTTTATACCTGTGTATTTCTGGCACAATCATATTTTCAATGAATTCTATCAAACATTCAGATTGATTTTTTGTTGTGGAAATATAATTAAAATTGTGTTCTCAGGTTGTAAGGTGCAGGACGAAAAAAAAGGCCAATAACCAGATTTTCTATAGTAAATTAAGACTGGAACCATGCTCTCTAGATATTCAGGAAAGTCAAAGAATAAAGCACAGAGCTGACAGTGAGCAGACTGTGAGATAAGAGCAGATGCAAGTGATGCAATCACTGACCTAGCCTTTATTTAAATAAATAGCACAGAATTCTGATTATTTTGAAAAATTATTAGTATTAAGATATTAAAACTATCAGTATTAAGATAAGAGCAAATACAAGTGTTGCAAACATTGACCTATCCTTTATTTAAATAAATAGCACAGAACACTGATTATCTTGAAAAACTATCAGTATTAAGACATACGGAAAACAAAGCCAAACCACAGAATGAGGTAATTCTCTTCCCTCACCTCCTGACACATGTATTTAAGCTTCGCTTTTAACAAAAGTGAAACAAAAGACAAATCTCTTGAATTTATTGACTTTTCTTCATCTCCACCAACACCACCCTAAGCTAACATCAACCCTTGACCAGACAACTCATCTTCCTGAGCCCAGTCTTGCCCACTCATTTTAAAAAACATATCTGATGGTGCCACTTCCTTGCTTTAAAAAACCTACAGTGGCTCCCTTTGTTCCTAAAGAAAGACCACAGTCTAGCTCCCGCTCATCCCTCCACACCAAGCTCATGTTTCGTCACTTCCAACAAAACAAGGAAGTGCTCATTTTAAGCGGCCCTTGCACATGGCTGCAGGTGTGGCAGGTTCCTCTTTGAAACCAAGAGTTTTGTCTAAAAAGAGACACAGACAGGGGGCTGGCCTGGTGGCGTAGTGGTTGAATTCGTGCACTCTGCTTCAGTGGCCCGGGGTTTGCAGGTTCAGATCCCAGGCGCGGACTTACACACCACGCACCAAGCCATGCTGTGGCAGGCGTCCCATATATAAAGTAGAAGAAGATGGGCATGGATGTTAGCCCAGGGCCAATCTTCCTCAGCAAAAAGAGGAGGATTGGCAACAGACGTTAGCTCAGGGCTAATCTTGCTCACTAAGAAACAAAAAAGAAAAAACAAGGAGAAACAGACGGAGTAGACCAGTGTTTCTCAAACTACCTGTGGACAAGAACCAATTTTTGTTTGATAAAGGTATTCCTTTTAAATAGAGAAAATAAAGTCTCATTTACTCCTCTCATCTTTCCCCACAGGCACCAACTCTCATGAATTTCCCTTTCTCTTTTTTTTTAAGGAGTCTACTGTGCACTGACACTTTTGTAAGATACAAAAAAACTTTTTTTTTTTTTGGTGAGGAAGATTAGCCCTGAGCTAAAATCCGTTGCCAATCCTCCTCCCTTTGCTGAGGAACATTGGCCCTCGGCTAACATCTGTGCCCATCCTCCTCTACTTTTATCCGTGGGATGCCTGCCACAGCATGGCTCAATGCACAGTGTGTAGGTCCACGCCCGGGATCTGAACCTGTGAACTCTGGGCTGCTGAAGCAGAGCATGCAAACAACCACTCCGCCACTGGGCCGGCCCCACAATGACACTAATTTTTAAAAAGGATCTCATGCTTGGATGTCACAGCCATGTCAAACTAATATAAACGTTTCTAAGTGCTTACTCTCATTTATTATCTTGTTGCCGTCCAGTAACAGTTCACAGACCACTCTCTGAGTAACACTGGTACAGACTAGTGTTTCTCAAACTTTTTGCACACACCTGAGTCACCCAGAGGGCTTGTTAAAACACAGACGCCTGGTCCCTAACCCAAGAGATTTGATTCAGGTCTGGGCTAGGACCCAGAAGTTGTATCTCTAGCAAGCTTCCCAGGATGAGGATGCTGCCTGCAGACCAGACCTTGGGTAGCACAGGCTTAGATTACACACGAGAGGAAAGAACACTGGACAGAAAGCCAGAAGACCTCTGTGCACGTGATCATAGAGAAAGCGCCTGGGAGGGAACTCACCAAAACATTCACAGAAGTTAGCGCTGCCTCGGGTAAGGAAGAGCTTTTACTTTCTTCTTTGTGCTTTTCTCTATGTCCAAATTTTATTCATATGTTTACACACACACACACACACACACACTCACAACCTCCTCTAAATCTAGAAATTGTATGTGTATACATATACATATATAATTCATTTTATACATGGATATAATTTTTTAAAGAGCATGTTTGATGTTCTTTGGCAGTCAGGTCACTAGAAATTTGTGATAAGCTTATAGACAATACAACTCACAGATCTTTTTTCCTCAGACCTGCTGTCAAGTCAGTTCATGAGCTACAGCTGATCTCTTGAACTTAAGTACTGACTTAGATTTACTATGAGGCCACATGATGATGTACAAGGGCATGGAATTTGAATCAATGCCTACTGCACCGTTTACTAGTCTGTAGGTGCTCTGAATATCTACCTACTACGGTGAGAGAGAAGTGTCGTCTTAGGTTTATCTGTCCTATCCTCCCTACTTTGAAGAGATTCTCCAGAATGATGACCTTGGAATTCTTAATCTTACTTTCTCTCTGACGTTGTTGACATTTCACAGTCTTTCCCAAGCAATGGCTCTATCTTTTCTTCATTCTTGTGGTTTGATCCTAAGTTGATGTTGTTGTCGTTGATGTTGTTGTCACTGCTGTTGGCATTTTTCACTAAACCAACCCATTCTAGGCCTCAGTCTTTCCTATAAGTTATATTTTCCTTGCTGATATGCTTATTTGGATGGAATCTACTGGATTGTCTGCTTAGTCAACCCCCCAGGGACTGTTCGCCCCCCTCCACATGCAGGTTACAGAGGGAGTGGTCAAGCCTGTGCATGTAACACCATCCCCTGGCCACAGCACATTGCTCTGGGAGTAAACACAGATCCAAACTGGATCAATCAGTTCCTTCCCAGGAATCTCAATTTGGGAAAGAGAGAGAGACAACCTTCTCTTTCAAAATGTCTGAACCAGTGACACACACTCAAAGCTGTTTGGCGAGCCTATTTTCCACCATGTTGCTTGTAGAGAGAGAAAGCCTGTGCACAGACACACACAGGAAAGAGCAGAGATGAGAGATGAAGCTGGAGTCATGTTAACACACGCTCTGAAAAGGCCTCCAACCTCCAGCTGCTGTGGTTCCCCACAATTCCAATTCTTGCCACTCTTGAGGCTGGAATTCTACGACATACTCCAGGATCCTTCCAATAAACTGTCTTTGTTCCTTAAGCTAGCTAAGGTTATTTACTTCAGAATAACCTTAGCCAGCTGTGATATTGTGATTTATAAGTAACATATATCTTGTCTTTGTCCTCGTTCCTGGCGCAGAGCTCCTAAAACCCTTGGAATTTCCTAAGTGGTGAGAGCAGTAAATGTGTCTTTTGTTATATTAATAGTGACTTTTGGAAAGCCCCTCAGTAACTTATGGATGGAGGCTGGTTGCCAGGGGGAACCAACCACGTGATTAGAGGGTTGGAACTTTCAGTCCCACCCCCCAACCTCCAGGGAGCAGCGAGGAGAGGCTGGAGATTGAGTTCAATCACCAACAGCCAATGATGTAACCAATCATGCCTACATAATGAAGCCTCCATAAAAACACAAAAGGACAAGGTTCAGAGAGCTTCCGGCTTGGTGAACACATGGAGATGAGGGGAGAGTGATACGCTTGGAGAGGGCATGAACCTTCTGGGCCCTTTCCCCAAACCTTGCCCTATGCATTTCTTCCATCCAGCTGTTTCCGAGTTATATCCTTTTATAATAAACCAGTAATCTGGTAAGTAAAATGTTTCCTGAGCTCTTTGAGCCACTATAGCAAATTAATCAAACCAAGGAGGGGGTCATCGAAACCTCCGAGCAGAAGCACAGGTGATAATTGGACTTGTGATTGGCGTCTGACGGGGGAGGGAGGCTACCTGTGGACTGAGCCCTTAACCTGTGGGATCTCCTTGGAGATAGTGTCAGAACCGAGTTAACTGCTTGGTGATGTGGAAAAAACGCACACATCGGAATTGGTGTCAGAATCGTACCAACCAATTTGCCTTCCTT